CTGGGACTGTAGTTTGTTGTAGATTACTTGCCTCGTACACAGGAGGACCTGTGTTTGAGCCCTAGCAACACACACACACACACACACACACACACACACACACGCACACACACACACACACACACACACACAGAGTTTTGTCAGCTTTTTTGCCCCTGTGATTAAAGGACTCAACCAGAACAATTGTAGAGGAGGAAAAGTTTATTTAAGGGCTCATGGTTTCAGAGTTCTCGATCCATGTACAGCCAGCTCCATTCCTTGGGGCTCCAGGTAAGGCTGAACAACATGGTGGAAGAGTGTGGCAGAGGGAAGCAGCTCATGTGATGATCAGAAAGCAGAGAAAGACTCCACTTACCAGATATAAATATATACCCCCAAACCAGGCTCCCAATGTCCCACCTCCTCCAGCCACACTCCACCTGCCCCCAGTTACCACTCAGTTAATCTCATCAGGAATTAATTCACTGATTAGTTTAAGGCTCTCACAACCTAATCATTTCTACTCCAAACACTCTTGCATTGTCTCACACGTGAGTTTTTAGGGGGACACCTCACATTCAAACCATAACACACACGCACACACACACACACACACACAAAAGGTACACTTTAATTAACATTGACATAACACACCTATGAAGCCATCCCCACAATCAAAGTGCATGTATCTGTCATCCCAAAGTGTTTCCTCTACTCTTTTGTATATTTGGAGGTATTATCAAAAGCAAAATAATAAATAAGTAAATAAATGGGAATATTTGAAGCAGATCAAGAGGGCTTGGTGATTAAATGTTGGGGGTTAATGGGGGGGGGTCTGGAATGACCTAGGTGGTAATGCCATTTGTTGAAACTTGGCAGGTTGCACTTTGTAAATGTTAAGTAGGTGATCACAATGGGACATGCATGTAGAAATGGCAAGTAGTAGCTGAAACCAGAGAGTAGAAATTATCTACAGAATAAGTGCAGAATGGAAAGAGAAGAGGGTTAAAGGGGGAAAAGTGCTGGCAAATTATAATTTTTTTAATATTTATTTTTTAGGTGTAGATGGACACAACACAATGCCTTAATTTTTTTTAATGTGGTGCTGAGGATCAAACCCGGGTCCCGCCCCTGCTAGGTGAGTGCTCTACCGCTGAGCCACAATCCCACCCCCTCGAATTATAATTTTTATGGTCAGGTAGAAGAGGAAGGAGGGGTCTGAGTGTTGAGGGAAACCGAGAGAGAAGGGGCCAGGTGGGAAGTCATTTTCTGTATAGTAGCTTAGGCTGGGGGTATGGCTCAGAGGAGAGTAGGAGCCCAGCATGTTCAAGGCCCTGGGTTCAATCCCCAACATAATATATATATATATAAACATTATGATTTATACACTATACACCAGAAAATGTGGGCATAATCTTGAAAGATGTCACATTTACTTCATTAATAAAATTAAACCTCTGAACCTGTGAAAGCTGAGGACTGGGTAACCAAAATAAATTATATCACATGACCTTTCTAGTAGCTAGTGTTGCCTGATGACTTCTCTGCTTGAGGAAGTCTTTCTTCAAAGTGCTTACATTACTTAATAAAAAATGAATAATATTAAAATAAACAACTTTTTTGGTATATCATCAGCCTATTCAATATCAGTTAAAAGTGAGACTAACCCATTTTTTTTATCCTTTATTAGGCAAAGCAAAAGAAATTCAATTTCATGTGAAGGCATTATTAGATAGAAGCAACATTTTTTTCCCCTTTTTAAATTTAATTTATTTTTTTCTTTACAAGGTCTTCCTGTGTGGCCTGGGCTGGCTCTGCACTCCTGGGTTCAAGGGGTCTCCCTGCCTCACTCACTGCCTCACTCACTGCCTCACTCACTACCTCACACAGCCACTTCCGGTAGCTGGAGTGTAACGCTACCCATTGAGCAGCACTTATTATTTTTTTTAAAACAATTTTTTTATAATAAAATTAACAAAAAAGTTTTAATAAGTTTAGTTTTTAAACAAATGTGAAGTCAGGAATAGTGATTTGCACCTGTTAATCTCAGTGGCTTGAAAGGCTGAGGCAGGAGGATCACAAGTTTGAGGCCAGCCTGGGCAAGTTAGTGAGACATTCATTCAGCAACTTAGCAAGACTCAAAATAAAACTTAAAAGGGGCTAGGGATGTCATTCAGTGGTAAAGTGCCCTGGGTTCAATCTTTAGTACCAAAAAAAAAAAAAAAAGGAAATATTTTACATCTAAGATACCCATAGGAGCTGCCCATAAAGCTGTAAGCAAGAGCTAAATAGTAGCTTTTCTGTCCATCATAGGATGTTGGCATAAAAGGAAACCTGGTTCATTGAACATTTCAGGTCCAATGGGCTGGGGATGTAGCTCAGTGGATAGTGTATGCTAAGGAGGCCCTGGGTTCCACCCCCAGCCTTGAAAAATAAATAAAAAGTTCATGTGCAAATATTGCTGTAAAATTCCTGATGGGTGACTATTCAACAACTGCTTGTTCAGTATAAAAAGTGAATTTGGAGTACCCTGGGTCACTAGATGATAGCTCTTTTTGAAATTTCTTTATTGAGAATAAACTACTTCCCTTGGGTTTTGAGATTTTAGAGTTCTTTTTCAGAGAGCTTTGAGGAAGGGATGGAGACAATTAAGTTTCAGTGTCGTACAAATTTTTTTTTTTTTCATGTTAAAAGAATGGATGCATCAATAAAATTAATATCTGCTATTTAATTGATTTTGAAGGGTTGCCATATCCTATTAATCTATAAAAACTCTCTGTCTGTAACATTAAATCTTTAGGAATAGACTTGATATCCATGAATGTTTCTAATAAAACTGCAACTATGGGGCTGGGGGTATAGCTCAATTGGTAGAGAGCTTGTCTAGTACGCACAAGGCCCTGGTTCAGTCCCCAGCACCACAACTCACACACACAAAGTGCAACTATGCTGAGCCCCCTTAGGTCACCCCCGAAACCCCCAAGAAGAGCTGATAGATTAAGATACCCCCACTCTATTCTTTCCATCTCACTGCAGGTAGGTAGGAGGCAGGGATAGGTAACCAAGCATGAGAGAGACACTGCATTATTGGGAAGAGTATGGGCATTGGAATTTGGCACACTCAGTTCAAATCCCCTTCTGCTTATTATGTGTCTGATCTTGAGCCATTAAACTACTCTTGAGCCTCAGTTTTGTTTTTATTTAAAAAATGAAGATGATGCTTACTTGGCAGAAGTACTATGAAAATTAAATAGAGTAAGTAGTAGAAAACATGAAACACAGCAACTGGATGTGGAATGAACTTTATAATAATAGTAGTTATTATTATATTATACTACCATTATTATAAAGTTCATTCCAGCCTTAGCCTCCTTAGTCTCTGGGATTACAGGTGTGCACCACTGTGCTCAACTCAAGGACATTTTTGATCTGTCAAAACTGGGGTTGTAGATTGGAGTGCTACTGGCTTCTATGGAGAAGGCCAGGGATGATGCTAAACATCTCACAGTTTGTAGGACTGCCTTCCACTCCCATCTGAGAGAGAAATAATAATCCAGTCCAAAATGTTAATAGTGTTTGAGAAAACCTGGTATGCATGTTAAATATAAAGTATAGGAGGTCATGATTTTGGACTAAGCTAAGGCYCCCACAGAGGAGACTAAAGATCAAAATAGAGTCACACAAACTAAAGTTTCAGGTCATCAATCGAAACCAAGTTGTTATCTGCCCTTCCAAGAAATCAGATAAAAACAAAATTTCCCTAAGGGGTCAGTTTCAATGTCCATGATAATAAACTTCCCTCTGTGTTAATCCTTACAGGAAAAATAGTAACCTGATGTTAACCAACCAGTGATTGTTGTTATTATTATTAGGCACTTTGGATTAAACCCAGGGCCTTGTACATGCTCAACAGGTTCTCCACCCCTGAGCTACACTCCTAGGCCAAAAAGTAATTTAAACGAAAGACCAATCCATTTTTTTTGTTCTTTGTTTCTGCTTTCTTCAGTCCTTTTCTAGCTTTAAAACCAAGGTTTTCTACTCTGCTTTTTGAAATACTAATTATATGGAATGGAGTGTTCTACAATAACAAAGGCAATTAAGATCTTTAAATGAGGGCTGGAGATGTAGCTCAATGGTAGAGTGATTACCTAATATGCACAGGCCCTGGGTTTAATACACAGCACCAAAAAAAAAAAAGATGTTTAAATTTGTTATCATTTTGTCTTTTAACAGATCTTTTTATCCATCTAAAATTATATTTTTTAGGTTGGGCATGTAGCTAAGTGATAAAAACACTTGCCTAGTGTGCTTAAAGCCCTGGTTCAATCTGTAGCACTACAAAGAAAAAAAAATGACATTTTTGTTTTCTTTCTTTTGCCTCCCTCCTTTTATTTATTGGTTTACTTATTTTTTGTTGGTGCTCCCTTCTTTTAAATTATAAGACATCAATGAGAAATGGAACATATTTTATGCAAGACAAAAAAATTGTATTGATTTCTTTTCTCACTGAACATTTAATTGGTCAATACTGCATCTGGAGCAGCAGTGTTATGATTGATGTTACAAAAGAGACTTTCTACTAGACTTTTACTTCACCAGTAGCAGAGTTTCTGCCACATTTTATTGTTTGATAATAAGAGATATGAAAAAAACAAAACCAATACTAAGCCCAAAGGAGAATCAGCAATTCATATCCACCTACGTGGATCATTAAAAAAAATCTGAAGTGCTTGTGAAGTAGACTTCACAAATGATTCTTAGCTGTTAAAAATGTAAGGTGTCTCTATATTTGTGTTATGATATTTAAATGAGGAATTTATTTAGTCTGGAAAATTTACTCACCAAAATATTTATAAGCCACACACTTAAAATGAACATTTATGAAAGCTCCAAAATCTAAATCATAAGATGTTTATTTTGTAACAAAATAGATAAAATCAAATATAAAGCATATTACTGTTTGTACTTTATACATTTTGATTATGCTAAAATTTGTTAATTTAACATTAGTTATAGTCAACATTAAATCACTTATTTAAAAAAATTCCAAGTACATTATTAAGATGAACTTCTTTCTCATCAGAAAAAGAACTTCAGGAGTAAATAATGATATATCCACATAGTCAATCCAAAACATCCTCAGGTTTTGGCTGTGGGTTTGGCTCAGTGGTACAGCGCTTGCCTAGCAGGAAGCCTTGGGTTTGGTCCCCAGCAGCAGAAAACACTAGGTCTTCATCTTTTGTTTCTTAGACCATTCAGGTGCTTCCTTTTTAGTCTGAAAAGAAGAAAAAGAAAATGAAACAAAATGTTTACAAGTAGGACAAGAAAGGCAATTTAGAGAACTAGGTACCTATACCCATTGGGGCCCTTTTTATGTAAACCACAGAACTACTTTTCTTGGTTCAGAAGGACATTTAAGAGTAAAGGTTTTGCCCTTTGTCAGAAATAATCCTACCTGGTAGATAAGTAAGAAAACTAAACATTGGAGGCTGAGGTAGGTGGAATCTCAAGTTCAAAGCCAGCTTCAGCTACTTAGTGACTACCCAGATCCTGTCTCTAATTAAAAAAAAAAAAAAAAAAAAAAAAAGGACTGGGGCTATAGCCCCGGTGGGAAGAAAGTACACATTAAATTGAATTTGTTTATATATATATATTTGGTACAGGGATTGAGATCAGGGCATGTTCTGAACCACTGAGTCACATTCCCAGCTCTATTTTTTTTTTTTAAGAAAGAGAGAGAGAGAGAATTTTTAATATTTATTTTTTAGTTTTCGGCGGACACAACATCTTTGTTGGTATGTGGTGCTGAGGATCAAACCCAGGTCGCAGGCATGCCAGGCGAGCGTGCTACCACTTGAGCCACATCCCCAGCCCCCCAGCTCTATTTTGTATTTTATTTAGGGACAGGGTCTCACTTAACACCTCGCTTAACACCTCGCTTTTGCTTAGGCTGGCTTTGTACTTTCCATCCTTCTGCCTCCTGAGCCTCTGGGATTATAGGCAAGGACCASCACACTCGGATCACACTGAAGTTTTTTGGTTCAAACAATATATTCTACAGGGTGGGGACATGGCTCTGTGGTAGAGTGCTTGCCCAGCATGCATGAGGCCTCGGGTTCAATCCCCAGCACTGCAAAAACCTAACATAAAACTTTTCATATCCTGCTGAGGTGGCTATTTATGAACTGATTCTACATTCAGAGTGACTTATAAAAAGAACAAAACCCTGGCTGGGGATGTAGGTCAGTGGTAGAGCACCTAGTATGAGGCCCAGGGTTTAATCCCCAACACTGAAAACAAAACAAAACAAAACAAAACAACAAACAAACCTATTAAGGACACAACTCTCTGGCTCTCTCCTTTATACAGACATGACTATTCATTCAGTCAATATATATTTACTGAAGAATTGCTATATTCCAATTATCATATTTTAAATCTTTTCAGTTACTAAGCACTTACTAAAGTACTTCTCGGGTTTATTGCTTAATCATTTTAGTATAAAAACAACCAGGCTGTAAAGAAAGAAAAAAAACAGTCCAGGTGCAGTGGCACATGCTAGTAATTGTAATGGCTCAGGGGGCAGAGGCAGAGGCAGGAGGATTGCAAGTTTAAAGCCAATCTCAACAACTTATCCAGGCCCTAAGCAACTTACTGAGACCCTGTCTCAAAATAAAAAAACAAAAAGTGGGCAGGGGATGTAGCTAAGGCATTAAGGGTTCCTAGGTTCCATTCCTGGAAACAAACAGGAAACAAAGGAGAGGCTTTGGGTACAGCTCAGTTGGCAGAGTGCTTGCCTCACAGGCACAAGGCCCTGGGTTCCTCTGTGCTCCTCTCCCCTCATACYTTCAATTTAAGCCACAAATACATTGATGTAAATTAGAAATATCAGATCCCTCTGGTATCCTCTCTCTGTTTCTGTGCTGCCATAAGCTGAGGAGTTTTTGTCTCCCAGGCCCTTCCACGAGGATGTTCTTCCCTTTCACCTCAGGCCCAGAGTAATGGAGCTGGCTGACTGTGGACTGAACCTCTGAAACCGTGAGCCTGAAGTAAACTTTTCCTCTGCTCTTATCAGGTATTTTGGTCACAACTAACATAGACATATATACTTTATGGTACCACACAAAATAATTTCACTAATCTTAAAAATTGCTCAGATTCTTAGATCTATGTTCATGAGAGGTATTGGTCTGTAGTTTTTTAGGCAAATTTCTTTTCTTTCTTTCTTTCTTTCTTTCTTTATGGTTTTGAGGATCAAACTCAGGCCCTCACCTATAGACCCTGGTCTGTAGTTTCTATAGTTTGCTTTTGTTTTTTCCTTTTGTGGCACTGGGAATTGAATGCAGGGCTTCATGGATACTAGGTAAGGGCTTTACCACTGAGCAACATCCCAGCCCTGGTCTATAGTTTTCCTTTTGCAGTAATATCTTTATCTGCTTTCTGTTATTAAGTTAAGGCTGGCCTTATAAAATAAGTTGTGAAGTATTCCCTTTGTTTTTATCACTTGAAAGAGACTGTAGAGAATTGGTATAATTTCTTCCATAAATTAATTCAATAGTGAACCCATTTGGGTTTGGGGTTGACTCAACTTTTTTAATAAAAATGAGATCATTTAGTTTGTCTGTTCTTCYTGTGTGAGTTGTGGCAGATTGCGTCTTTGAAGGAACTGGTCCATTTCTTCTGGCTGTCAAATTTGTGGTCACAGGGGCTGGGGATGTGGCTCAAGCGGTAGCCCACTCGCCTGGCACGAGTTGTAAAGGTACTGCGAACCGTCGGAGGGAGAGACCACCCAAGAGACTGACTCCATGCAATTGGCAAAAGGGGATATTTATTGGGATCCATTCCAGCGCGCTGGGATTCTGTGCTCACTCAAGAAGGGAGAGCAGCCCAGAGCCCAGAGCAAAGGTCAAGCAGAGCTTAAGTTACACTTTTTGGAGAGGGCGGTGGGCTTTGCATACATCAGAACAAATCATCATGAGGCGTGGGGAAATTGAACAACAACTCTGAGACGTGATTGATTGGCACATTCATTGGCGGGAACAGATCGGGCGGGGTTGATTGGTCATTCGTAAGCGGGTTACACATTCAAACTGATTGGTCCAGGCCCTGTGACAAACTGCACAGGGCCCTAGGCTAAATGGCCAGTAGGGTGTTGTCTTAACTATCTCAGGAATCTGGGTGTAACAGAGGAACTTAATAATACCTAATCTTTTACATTCAAGCTTTCCAGCTTAGAAACTTTACCCTTTCAGCGTGCAACCCGGGTTCGATCCTCAGCACCACATACAAAGACGTTGTGTCCGCCAAAATAAATAAATAAATAAATTAAAAAAAAAAACAAATTTGTGGTCACAAACTTGGTGTGGTAGTACATGCCTATAATCCTAGTGACTCAGGAGGCTGAGGCAGGAGGATTCCAAGTTGGAGGCCAATCTGAGCAACTTAGACCTGTTTCAAAATTAAAAAAATAAAAAGGGCGGGGCATGTAGTTCAGTGATAGAACACCCAGTTTAATCCCTAGTATTGAAAAAAAAATTGTGGGCAAAGAGTTGTGCATAATTATTCCTTTACTGTCTTTGAAAATGTCTATGTGATTGTATAGTAATACTCCCTTTTCATTTCTGATTGCAATTTGTGTCYCCTTTTTCTTAGTTAGCTTGTAGTATAGTTTGAATCTGGAGTGTCCCTCAGATCCATGTATTAATAGCTTAGTCCCCAACTTGGCACTATTGGGAGTTGGTTGTAACTTTTTTTTTACAGTGTTAGGGAATGAATCTGGGGTCTTTCATGTGTTAGGCAAGTGCTCCACCACAGGGTTACATCCTRAACCTTAACTGTTTTAATTCTATTTTTTTGTGTGCTGGGGATCAAACTCAGGGCCTCATCTCTGAACTACTTCCTAGTCCTATTTCCCTCTTCTTTATTTTTAGGTGGGGTGGAGTACCAGGGATTGAACCCAGGAACMCTTAACCACTCAGCCACATACCCAGACAGGGTCTTGCTAAGTTGCTTAGTGCCACACTAAGTTGCTGAGCCTGGCTTTGAACTTGTGATCCTCCTGCCTCAGCCTCCTGAGTTGCTGGGATTATAGTCATGCGCCACCACATTTAAAAACAGATGTTTTTTAGGAGAGCAATGGACCCATCTAAAAATGACATATATTACTCTCCTTGCTGCTAGGAGGGGTCATGTGACTAAGTTCTGACCAATGGAATACAAACTGAGATGTTAGGCAGAATTTATGGGATATTCAGTCTCTTGCTTCCAGCTTAGACTGCAAATGTGATGCTTGAGGCTACAGCAAGTATACTGTAATTTAAAAAGTGGAAGCCACAAACCAAGGWCTGCTGAAAAGAAAAGTAGAGACCTAGGTCTCTGATGACTTATAGGGCCAGAAACTAGTTTTGAAATGCTTATCCCAGGTCTTTGTTCAAGAGACTGAACACTTTGCTAAAGCTGTTGAATATTCTATCTCTGAGTTATATCTCCAGCCCTTTTTATTTTGAGATGGGGTCATGACAAATTGCCCAGGCTGGCCACAAATTTATGATCCTCTTGTTTCAGCCTCCACAACACCTGGGATTATAGGTGTCTGCCACTGGCTCCAGCTAATTTTTTAATAGCAAAACAGGTTTTCAGTAGAATCTGTTTTTACTTATTACAATCTTCTATTTAAAGCTTCCTCAATATTATAAGATGATGATTGGATCTATAAAAGTGTAGCTGCTCAAAAACTTTGAGCTGTGCTCTTATTTCCTTCAGGTCTTGCCTTAAGAATCACCTTCTCAGGCTGGGGATGTGGCTCAAGCGATAGCGCGCTCACCTGGCATGCGTGCGGCCCAGGTTCGATCCTCAGTTTGTACTATGTACAAACAAAGATGTTGTGTCTGCCGAAAACTAAATAATAAATATTAAAATTCTCTCTCTCTCTCTCTCTAAAAAAAAAAAAAAAGAATCACATCCTCAGGGAGGCCATACTCTACCTCTCTACTCCTTCCCCCACTTCCTGTTTTATTTTTCTTCCTAGAATTTGTCATGTTTTGGGGCTGGGGATGTGGCTCAAGCGGTAGCGCGCTCGCCTGGCATGCATGCCGCCCGGGTTCCATCCTCAGCACCACATACCAACAAAGATGTTGTGTCCGCCGAGAACTAAAAAATAAATATTAAAATTCTCTCTCTCTTTAAAAAAAAAAAGAATTTGTCATGTTTTTCTGTATAATTTATTATTATTATTTTTTTATTTTTAGGTACTGAGATTGACCTAGCATGTTTAAC